TCCCCTACAATATACAACCGGGGTGAGGCACCCCCGCACTAGCTACTTCCCCCCAGCAGACTAGGGAGATGCGAAGCTAGCGCGTCCCCCTCCCCCCGCCCAGCAGACCAGGGAGAGGTGGAGCGGCTTTTCTCAGCAGACACCTCAGTTTGAGATTAAAGGACTGAGGGAAGTGAGGTGTGGGAGAATAAAACTGAGCTCTGGAGAAATGTTTGGCTAGAGTTTCCCCTACAATATGTACCAGTTCCGACTTACATACAAATTCAACTTAAGAACAAACCTACAGTCCCTATCTTGTACGTAACCCGGGGACTGCCTGTAATGAAAAGAAAATTGAAGGATGAAAAGATTTCCTTTCCTTTGGAGGTGTCACTTTAAAACATCTTCCAAGGTCTGAAGAATAAGAACTGATTAAGTCTATATCAGGGATGGGGAACCCGCAACCCCCAGTTTGCCTAAATCCAGCGCCCAAGGCTCAGCCCCTCCACCCGCACTGGGGAACATGTATTGGCACTCCAGCCTCCCTGCTCTCTCACCATGGGACTAGAGCACACAAAATCTATTAGTGTGGGATTCAGCAGCCCCCAACCCAAAAAAGGTTCCCCACCCTTTGGAGAAGTATAGAATCTGAAATGTAGAGTATATTAACTAATCCTTCCACAGGTGGGAGGATCCCCCACAGAGGTGAAACTAAATCTTTGGAGTCTATCTAGCTGTAGCAGAGTAAGCATATGCAAATATCATATTGAAAAGAATAATGCAATAAGGTGGAAAGAAGAACATCTTGATAGGATATTATATTCCTTGTTAAGAAAATAAGGATCAAAAGGATGAGTTCTCACAGGTGGGTTGGCAAACTCAGATGTCTTTTTTTTTTTAAATATATCTGGCCTGTATGGTTGTAAACTGTTGTAATGATATCTGCCTAAATCTGCAGATACCCTGAAACATTGCCTCTGAGAGGGGGATTAGGTGCTGCTATTCCGTCTGATTGGGACAGTATTTCTGAAGCCTGATAATAATTTAAACAGCTATTTTATGGCTGATTAAAGCATACAAACACTAACAATCATTTTGTGAAGATCTGCATAATCTACTGGGAATGTCATCTTGTTTTGGAGTCTGAGTGAACAGAATTTAGGAGGGTACTGCTTATTTTTTCCAGTTTGATCCCTGGATTTTGAGAGGAATGGGACTGTATTACTTAGATTTGGAATGTTCAGCCTTTTTAAGCTGTCTGACAAATGGGAGCAGTACAATAAGGCTGCTGAATTCCATACCAGATCCATCTTTTTAAATGGATAATCACGCTTCTTTCACCATAATTAAGATGCTTGTAAAAAATGGGTTTAGATGTACAAATGTTATCATAGTTTCTGAACTAGAGGAATTAACCCAGAGTTAGGGATTGGAGAAAAAGGATTTAAATATTTACCTGTAAGGTTGTAGACCCTCACCAAAACGAGTAGTAGGATGGGAGAATGAAAGAGTGAAACAGGCTGTAAATGAATTTTGCCAAAGTTAAATGAAATCTAAGACTAATAAATAAATGCAAATGGTGAATGTGGAATTAAATTTAAAAAAATATTTAATCTGTAATATTACCACCTTAGACTAATAACAAAGTTCAAAATATGTGGAAGAGCCCTCATAATTTATTACCATCAGAGGTTCTTAAATGACATATTTCAGCAATACATGTCTTTTAGTGATTGCTGTGTTAGCCTTGTAGCATCTTTAATTTCCAGTATATAGAGAAAGTGCCAAATGTCCCAGTACCTATGAATATTTGATCATTCCAAAGTGAAAAGTATACTCTCTCTCAAAGCAAATCCAGATGAAGTATCTGTACTGGCTTGCCAATAGAACTAGAGCCACTTTTTTGTATTGCTTATTCTTTCTGTGACTTTTACACTAGCATTAAAAATGTATGAGCTCTGTGAAAAAATGGAGTAACATACAGTCCACTGGATAGCATGTAGTACTTTCTGACTTCCTCTCTGAGGGTGTCTAGACTACAGTTTTTTTTTAAAAAAGTAGCCTTTTTTCGAAAAAACTTCCCCTGCGTCTAGACTTTTGCCGCGTTCTTTCGAAAGAACGCAGCAGTTTTTTCGACTACGGAAAACCTCGTTTTACTAGGAAGAATGCCTTTTTTCGAAAGTGCTCTTTCAAAAAAAGGTGCTATGTAATGCAAACTGTGCTTTTTCGAAAGAGAGCATCCAGACTGCCAGGGTGCTCTCCTTTGAAAAAGCAGCTCGCTTTTTCGAAAATATTGGTTGTAGTCTAGATGCTCTTTTCTGAAAGAGGCTTTTTCAAAAGTATCTTTTGAAAAAGCCTCTTTCGAAAGAGGCTTGCAGTCTAGACGTAGCCTGAATCAGTGGTAACTGAACACGGTAAAAGATTGCATTTAGGATCTTAGAGCAGAAATTCCCTGAAGTACAATTTCTATTAAGTTTAATCAGTGTTTTGTGTGGACAGGTTTTCTGCACCTTGAGATCAGTCATTATATTGTACGTGACGTGGATGAAGCAGGTTAGATTTACATTGAGTTTCAAGTAGGTCCTAGATCTGGGGTCCTACATCTCAGGATTGGAAGACTGAATCAGTGAAACAGCAATTTGACTGTGGCACTTGGCTCTACTGAAAAAATTAATGTGACCTCCACCCAGCAGGCCTTGGTTGATAGGGCTTCACCATGGTAAACTGTGTCTTTGAGTATTAGAATTTAATTATTTTGTGATTGGTGTTTTTATGGAAAATTTGCTGAGAAGTGTTAATCATATTGTCTACAATTATGCGAGACTGGGGACAAGACTGAGGCATTTGAACTTTCCTCCAAAAAAGAAAAAACATGAGAGAAGATGAATATTTTCATCTGTTGGTTTGTTTTCTAAACAAAATGAAAAAGCTGGGTGACTTAGTGAAGCCTGAGATGGAAAAATGATATGTTGTTGGCTCTAATGGAGGTACTTTATTGACTTGAATAATAAATCCTTTTTGCAAGTCAGATTTCTAAATGATGAGGTTTAAGATTTATAATCCCAGGTCATCCATCTAAGAGGCTCAAACTTCAATGTGGAAAAAAAACCCTCTTTAATCTTCTTAGTAGTTTGTCAAAACAAACTGCAGTGCATCTAGAGAACCCAAATCAGTGGAAGCAAGAGACACTTGGAAACATTGTATAGTTCTATCTTCATGGCTCGCAAAAAGGAAATCAACCATACAGTGTCAAATTCTACAGGAAGTGCTAGAGACTGGGTATCAATATATATTTCTGTACCTTAATATGCATCAAGACTAATCTTAATTCAGGGAACACATTTCAATTTTGGTCACTTCCTTTCTGTGTTGTACTATCCTTTCTCCATAGACCTACAGATAACACTTGCTAGTCCTGTCTCGCTGTTGGTCATAAAAGGAGATAATGTTAAAGTGCAATTCAACACATTCCACTAAATATACTAAGTGAAATAATACCCATCTACATTTGAGTGATAGACTGAGTGATCTCTTTGAAAATGCTTGGCAACCTTGGAGATTCTTGTAATGGTTTTAAATTTAAAAAAGTAGAATTAAAGCATAGAAAAATCCCTAATCATTTCTCCCTCCTGAACAAGGGGAGAAGAGTAGGTGAAAATACCTTGAAGAAAGTTCACTTCAAATTGAATGACTTTAAAAAAAAATAGCTTTGAATGCAGAATGAGTATATTTATTACCAGGAGGCCTGCACCCTCATCAGGCTTTCTGTAAGCTTGTTTGATGTGTTGCAATAGCCCAGGTGCACACTTGGCTCTGTATTCACCAGCTTCACTTAGCATGGCAGAGGAACACTTCTGCTGCATGAAACCACTAAAACACCAACTAATTAAATAAGGGCTGGGGGTTTTTTCAGTACCATCTCAGAAGTTTGAATTTGAGTCTCTTAACTTTGACCTGTATTTATGGCTTGGGGCTGCAGCGTGCTCAGGTAGGAACACTCACATCCAATTTGGAACTGGAGCATTGCAACATCCAACCCTCTCCTAAGGTCAGAAAATCCTGACTTAACACTTTATTTTATTTAATTTCTTCAAACTTTTGGAATAGTACTGTAAGTGCCTATTCCATAAATTAAAAATCTTTATAGGAACATAAATAAAGGGCTTCCCATAAACATCTACTTAAGTGCACAGTCTCCTCAATGGCCTTAAAATAAAAGGGAAAAAAGATGAGCATTACAGTTTGCAGGGAAAGTCATCCAATTTGAGTTTCAATGGACTAAAGTGGGGGTGCTGTTCCAAAATTGAGGACTTGTCTCAGAAAATGCTGCACTAACTGCTCCCCCTCATTTATATTAAGAACCTGTATTTAGCTCAATTGTGGCAGTTTATTCACTGTGAGAGGCAGGTTAGAAAAACAGTACACTGAAGTGAGGATAGCAAATGAAAAATGAGAGAAAGCAAAAATCCTTGGAGCAATGAATGCCACTCCCTGCCCGGGTGGAAGAGTAGTTTGGCTTGTGCTTATGCAATTCTAATTATACCACTTTACGTGATTATACAAAGCTAAAATTGCACAAACTTTTAATTCAGGTTTTGTTATGCGAGGAGACAAGTTTCTCTACAGAGTTATCGTTTAATGTAACATTGATATACAAATATACAAAAATTTAAAGTTTTTACAAACTGACAATTTGGGAACTACCCAAGTACTCCAGGACACTGAAGTCCACTGAAAAGCATAATAGGCAACTTGTTGCAAAAAAGTGATGTGGTGTTAGTGGAGATTTCTGCTTTGGTTTGTTTTACAGCTTTAACTTTTCATACAGCTTTTAATGAGAATTTCTCTTAAATCCATGATCTGTAAATCTGTTGCATCAAATTACTTTCATTGTAACATATCTGGATGATTTTATTAACTAAAGCAATGTGTTTAATGTTTCAGAGGTGGATTTTCATCTCTGTATAATGGAGTAGTTTTTAAATGTTTAAGATTCAAATAATATTTTCTGTCTTTAATAGGTGAATGTCTATGTGCTGGGAAAAACTTTCCTTCTGTTGGCCAGAGAGCTGTGCATAAATGCTCCAGCTATAGGTATTTTCTTTAACTTGGCTTTCTGCATTGGGTATACTTTGTCATAGGTTCATGAATGCTTTAAGGCAAAATATTTGCACAATACAGTATTATGTATTAAAGGGGCACTTTAAAATGAAATTCATAGTAGTCCAGGAATAAAATTTAACAATTACTGAAAAGTAGAAGTTACTTTAAAATAGAGAGGAAAATAGTGGAACTGCTGTTATATGCATATTTTCTTGATACTACTTTTTTTTAGTTAAATATGTCATTCACTACCTCTAAGTATATAAATAATGTAAGCCTTAATGAGAGTATGTACTGACATGGGAGGGAGAGATAGGCTTATCTCCAAGCTTGCACAGACTTCTCATGTTTCAGCTTGACCAAATAAAACACAACATTAGGTTAAGTATTTGTTAAATTTACTGTGTTCACTACCTGAAGCGGATTTTATCAGCACTTGAAATACAAGAGGATTTATGGAAAATGTGAAGCTTTATTTTTAGAGAATGACAGTAATCAGTTTTCTTGAAAACTGTTTTTTGAAAATGTGATGGTTAAAATAAGAACAGGTTGTATTGTATGAAAATAGTTTTAAAACTAACATATATTAACATTTGCTTTTGGTAGTAGCAGCTCCATACAGCAGTATATGCATTACGTTTCAGTACTTTGTTACAATCTACCATGTGTGAGCCACAGAAAATCTTGCTAACTCCAGTTAAAGGGAGTGGTTCATAAGGGTATCACAGGACTGTTACCTGCCTTTATATTCTGGTATTTCTTTTTCCTTTATTTCCTCCATGAGATTGAGACTTTTTGGCATCAGCAAACAAGCAACTTCACTCTTATAGCTAGTCATTGAGGAGCACTTGAAAACATTGCTATCTCTAGAAACTAAGCATCACCTCTCCAAATATTGAGTTCAGTAATCATGGAGTCCGGATATCGTGATAATACACAGCTATCAGCCAAGTCACTGGGCCAATTAACTCTGCATATGTTATTGCTTGATGAAAAGAATATTCTCCCTCTGATTTTTGCAGTGGAAATCCAGCTCTTTGAGTATTTTGCACTCCCATTTGCAAAAACAGAATAGGAAGCCATATATTATAGTTTGTATTTGAATTGTCTAACATAGAGCAGTCAGTAAATACGTGTCTGTAAAACAGGAAAGCTTTTAAAGTAAATGTTAGTGGTACTTTTTATACCAGGAAAAATCTCTAGTTCTGTTAGCTGTTGGGTACTTTTTTCGAAGGTCACTGCTACAAGAGAAAGGGGTCCTGCTTATAGCACATAGTAAATATTTTCAATTGCCTAATCTCTAATGATAGAAAAAGCTACTTCCATCTTTTTTTTTATAGTCTGTATCCTAGAATTTGCTCAACAGGTGTAAATAAGTGATAAGGTACATTGAGAGATTTTTTTTCACTTGTAAGCTGTATGGAAAAAAAAGCAAAGAAGGTGCTTAGCCCTGTGGCCTTTTTAGGTGGGTTACACTCACATCAGGAATTTAAAATGTACTATTAAATTTTTACCAGACTGCTTCTCTCTCTCTCAATTTAGTGCCTGAATTCAGGCAGTTTAATTAATGACATGTTTCATTTCTTTACTCCTTTGGTAGGCTTTTGTACATTTTAAAAAAAGTATATAAACTGCATTTATTAGTACTGTAATTTATACCAAATCTACATAACTGAGTCAAAGTTCTTACTTCATACTTTGGTTTCTAATTATTCTAAGTCCACACAGTTTCTGTACCAATTTAATCAGTCTGTTTTTAACTGGTTATAGGCAAGGTCCTAGACATTAAGCCAGTCTGTTGCAATGCACTTGAAAATGGGACAGATGTCAATTTAATCTAAAGCTTCCCTAACTATACAAAGAGCAAATGCAATAGCTGTAGAGAACTTAATCTGAATGAAAGCTTGTAAGGTTTCAAATAAAAGCTTAGGATTTTTTTAAAATCAGCTTTATAGTCCCATCTTTTTGCTTTGTCACTGAAGTTTAAGAAAACGGTGCTTCCTTAAAACATTACCTCAGACGGGATGAAATTGTAGTTTGATGGTTTGTGGAGAGCTTTAGTTATCTTGCAAAGCAACCTCTATATTTGTGCTAATTGTTTTATGCCCTTTGTAGACAAACACAATAGTCAGAATGTTCTGTTTATTATTTTCTTAAGAGTCCCACCACTGTAAACTGTACTGTAGCTATAATAACATGGACATGAGCCACAAGATCAGTAATGATCAAGTACACAGGTTTAAGGGCAAGTAAAAATGTTTTATATTTCACAGATTCATAAACTGCTCTAGTTTAGAACATCCTGCTTGAGTCAGCTGCAATCTGCAAGTTAGTTATCTATATACAAAATAAATGCACAATACGTGCAGAATTTAACATTTTTCTGCATGTTGCAGTTTTAATTTAGTCAAATATCTTATGAATAAATAAAATAAGATTAAATTCAAGAGCATTCCTTCACTTATTTTGATAGCCTGATGTAGTAGATAAGTAGTGTAACATTCCACACTGCTGTGGAGTTTTGTAGTAATCAAAAAATCCCCTTAGTGTGAATAGCAGTACTGGAGTACAATCAAAGGGAAATGCATCATGCATAGAAAATGAGTTCAGGTATTTGTCCTCCTTGTACTCCAGTTCCATTGGTACTATCTGAGGAGCACTGGAATTGGAATGTTACTTTTCCACATTGTACTTCAGTCATTCCCTCTTGTCCAAAATAACTAAGTTCATTGCCATCAAGAATGGCACTTACGTTGTAAAATGTGTCTTGTTCAACCTGCACAGGGTGTTCAAACCACACAGAGAAAGTGTTACTGGATCCGTCAGAGGTAAACTTTGTCAGATTTTGAGCAAGAACAACTCCTAGACGCTTAAGTTCAATTTTGACAGTGTATTCAGCTTTGCCACAGCTTGACCCATACAAGCCTAGTCCTGCTATGAATATCCTTTTATCTACAGCAAATTGGATACTGTCACAGCGACCTCTGTACCTCCATTGGTTACTACGATATGCAGATGATTGAAATCGATGGCATCTTTGAGGTACAAGTCCTTTCCTTTTTGTCAGTGGAAAGTCTAGCTTGGGTTTATTTGAAGCTGTATACCATAAGAATATATTATGCGTTTCCTCAAGGGTAAGGATATCAGATTGAGCAGCTCCATTGGCAAACTCCTCCAAAGTCATTGTGGGAATTCGCACCAAATATAAAGCTTTTCCTAATACATTCCTCTTGTTCCTTGGTGTAATTGGTAGCCCTTGTCTTTTGCATTCAGCCTCTGCCCAATTAAGAACAGCCTCAAAAACTACCACCTCCTTAGTATTTAGTGCTTCCCTGGTTACAATGATCTCAAGTGTTTGTTGATCAATTTCACAGAAGCCTTCTGACTTCAATGCCATTTCTGCTTGAGCATCAATTACTTCCCAGCAGCGCTGGGTCAATTCTGGCTCCTCAAAGAGTCTGCTCTGAGACAGCAGAACACAAGCATTTTTAGCCTCTAAGCTAGTCTCCAGAAAATTGACGCAAGCCTTTGCTAAGGCTGGGACGATATACTTCTTGGCAGCATACAAGGTAGCAAGCACTGTGTCAGCTTCCAGGTCAATTTCATCACTATACATATACCTAAACAGGAAAAAAAAAAAAAGTATTTTTAAAAGCGACATAGGTTGTGAGAGATTAAGCTACAATTGTCCTGCCAAGTAGTAATGTCCATAATTTGACATTTATCAGCACATTTAATAAAGTGTAATACCTGCACATTCCTAAATGCTGTTTAGAAGATTTTAAAGATTTTTTTTTAAATAAACCACTTTTAGTCTCTGTATAATTTGTAGACTTGTAATGACCACTTACTTTAATAAGATTAGAAAGGCTGCAGGTTCCACATCTGGTATATGGATTTCAGATCTGACCTCTGCAAGATCCCCATAAAACATAGCATAGAAGACAGAGCTACCGACTGCCAAAACATACTGTTAAAAAACAAAAACAAAATGTAGCATATAGCTGTAGTAATCTCATACTAACAGGCAGAAGAGGTACTGAGGGAAACTTAAAAGCTTCAGTTCAAACAGAAATCCTTTAAATTGTCCCATTAGAATTAAGGTATAAAGGAATAATTTGAGTTACACTTGTCTAATAATATTTGTATTAACTCCACTGCCCTAGCGGGGGGGGGGGAGAAAAAAATCAGATGCACAAACCTTATGGGCTGGAACTTTCTTTGAGGCCCCCAAGGGACCTACGATAAAATGCACATCAGCCATGAGTTCGTTATTGAACATCAGTGCGTTCCTGAAAGTAACAGGAAGGGAGAAACCAAATTAGATTTGCCAATTGTATTACCTGATGCCACGGACTGAGCTAATGCTACATAAATCTATCCCTTTTTTCAGTCCCTCTACTCCATCCCCTTGCTACAGCTGGTATAATGGGACACAGTGGGATACCTTCTCTCACTGTGCAAGATTTCACAAGTGAGACTTGAGGGCAGAAGGTGGCCAGTGTGCAATTGCAATACTTGAACTTGCTCCACCTTAGGATGTATGTGTGTTGTGGCTGTGAGGCTACAATTCAGTTTTTTGGCTTCAGAAACCTGACTTCACCCAACAATGGGGGGGAGGAAGAAGAGACATGGGGACAGGGCTGCTTGTTGCTAAACAACCCATCCTGTGCCTTTGCCAGAGGGAGGGGGAATTGCCATGGGACTAACTCCCCAAAGTTCTCTTGCAGGCTGGGAGGGGGATGGGGTGAAGAGCAAGGGCTGCTCAGGCAGGCTCTGTGCACTCTGGCTGGTCTGGCTCTTACCTCTCCCGCAGAGTGGGGTGGAAGGACTGCCAGTTGGAACTCTCCAAATTATTATTGTTAAGGTTTTGCAGTTGCGGTGGTGGAGGAGGCTGGGCACTCTGCTGAAGCTGAAAGGCGTTTTTCTTGCTGTTGGCAGCAGCAGCGACAGTGGCAGCAGCAGCGTTATTACTGTTTGCAATATTGGTGTTCGTGCTGGCAGGGTAAAGCTCTGCAGCCATCTTCTTCTTCAGGGACAAGGGCACTATCTCATAGCATGCTGGCACCTTGCTGTTTGACCTCACACTCTTTTTGGACTTCTTTAAGGTCTCTGGAAGCAGAAGAAAGAAAGTCAAACACTTCATGATCCTGCCATTGAGGCAGTCATGGGGCAGTGGCATGAGCAAGGGAACAGCTTTTCTAAAGTCAGGTCCCTTTACCTGGATACTTATGATTTTAAACTGCGGCTTTTGCTCAAAAGCCCAAAGCACCTTGTCTGTGAGGCAATACGGTGCCCTAATGAATCCGAGCCAGTGCTCACCTTTGCTTGAAGAAGGTCCCAGCCTCAAAGATCAAAGGCAGGATTGCAAAGGAAGACCCCAGCAGGGATCATGCAGGCAAAGAGTTTACCGAAAAGGAGAAGCAGCAGAGTCAATACAGAAATCTTCCAAGAGTTAAAACCCAGCCAGCGCTGAGCTGCTGCCAATCACTGATACCTCTTTGAGAGGCAACTCGAATCCTTTTCCCGTGCAAGGGTTAAAGATCTGGAGAGACCAGCAAGTTCAAGAGTTTCCCAGCCACGGTATTTAAACAAGGGCCGAACAAACGCTGCCTTCAGTTCCCAGTACGCATCTTGTAATTCCTCCTCAGACGAGGGGCTGCAGATGCGGTAAATCCCGCCGATCTGCTAGTGGAACAAAACTTTCCCAGGTTCAGTTCTGCTCAGATGCCCCCGGGGTGAGGGTCCGTGCCCAGCGCAGCGACCGTGGCCGGAGGATGCGTCTGAAAGGCCAGGGCCGATCGGCACGTCTCCCCGGCGAGTAGCAGGCGCTGCCGCCTCCCTCCCTTCCTGCGCGGCTGCGGTTCTGCAGCCCGGCAGCTTCAGCCAGCAGCGGGGCTGGGCGCCCGTGTCAGCACGCGTGTGCGCGACTCCTCGGGGTGTGTGTGTGCGTGTGCCTGCTTCCCCCCGCCTCCTGCCTCAAATAGCCAGCCGCGGCCCCGCGCGTCACGCCGCCTGCTCCAATGGGGAGCGGCGGGGCCCGGGCCCCGGGGAGGCCGGGCTCCCTCCCTTCCCAGACAATATGTCATTCTTCTCCGTTCCCTCCTACTCACCCACCAGCTCGCCCCCCTCGCTCCCTCCCGAGCCCCAGCCGCTTGGGAAAATTA